TCTATTACAGCGAGGATCCCATCCTAGCTCCCCAGCCTGGCTCCCTGGGCCCTGCTGTCCTTGGGACATTGGGATCTGAAACCGGCCTGGCCCGCTAGGGGCTTTCCCTACACAAGTGGCGGCACCAGTTTGAGAAACACTGGTCTAGAGAGCATTGCAATGACCAGTCACAAATGCCTGTCAAAGTCCAGATCCAAGAGAACTGGTTGCATTCACCTAATCAGGAAGGCTTATGATATTTTTGGCCACTGGACAGAGTTCAAGACTCCAGGATCAGTAAAGTGGGCCCCAAAACATCCCAAATTGCAACCCACTTGGACAAAGGTTTAATATCTTTGCAATATCCATGTTTTTTATATGTGTTTGTTAGACAAATATTTCAATGCTGCTTTTACAAAAGACACTCAGTCCTCAACTACTTTACAATAATAAACAGTGCGCACAATCTAACACAGTGGTTCTCAAAGCCAGTCCGCTGCTTGTTCAGGGAAAGCCCCGGTGGGCTAGGCCGGTTTGTTTACCTGCCGCGTCCGCAGGTCCGGCCAATCGCAGCTCCCAGTGGTCGTGGTTCGCTGCTCCAGGCCAAAGGGGGCTGCGGGAAGCGGCACAGGCCAAGGGACATACTGGCTGCCGCTCCCAGCAGCTCCCATTGACCTGGAGCGGCGAACCGCAGCCTGTGGGGGCCGCGATCGGCTGGACCTGCAGACGGGGCAGGTAAACAAACCGGCCTGGCCTGCCAGGGGCTTTCCCTACACAAGCGGCGGCCCCAGTTTGAGAAACACTGGTCTAGAGAGCATTGCAATGACCAGTCACAAATGCCTGTCAAAGTCCAGATCCAAGAGAACTGGTTGCATTCACCTAATCAGGAAGGCTTATGATATTTTTGGCCACTGGACAGAGTTCAAGACTCCAGGATCAGTAAAGTGGGCCCCAAAACATCCCAAATTGCAACCCACTTGGACAAAGGTTTAATATCTTTGCAATATCCATGTTTTTTATATGTGTTTGTTAGACAAATATTTCAATGCTGCTTTTACAAAAGACACTCAGTCCTCAACTACTTTACAATAATAAACAGTGCGCACAATCTAACACAGTGGTTCTCAAAGCCAGTCCGCTGCTTGTTCAGGGAAAGCCCCGGTGGGCTAGGCCGGTTTGTTTACCTGCCGCCTCTGCAGGTTCGGCCGATCGTGGCTCCCACTGGCCACGGTTCGCCGCCCCAGGCCAATGGGGGCTGCGGGAAGCGGCGCAGGCCGAGGGATGTGCTGGCCGCCTTCCCACACGCCCCCATTGGCCTGGAGCG